AAAAAAAAAAAAAAAAAAAAAAAAAAAAAAAAAAAAAAAAAAAAAAAAAAATCGACATAGATTACTCAGTATTATTACACAGTAACTTTAAAATACATTTTTCTTTGTGCATAGAAAGGACTGTCATAAGTTCTCACTAACATATGCCATAAGTATCAATAACCATTAATTTCTTGAATCCTTGCTAATATATGCTGTACTACACTGATAATAACAATTCCCTGGAACAAATGTGGGAAGAAAGTGCAATGAATAAGTTCAATCACAAAACACAAGATTCTTTGGGCAGTTTATATTATTCAACATGTAAACAGGGGATTTAGTTCTAACTTTCCAGTTGACTGTGCTGTAGCCACATACATGGTTGAAACTACAGGCAGCCATTCTGGATAATGAGTGAAAGCTACAATCAACTGATCATCATTATTGTGACCCTGTAGGGTGTGCAATGGTGGACTAAAGAGCAAGGACCTCGTTAAAAGTGGAGCCTGATGACAACAGGAATGCCAGCCCACAGAGATAAGGCTCAAACTAACAGAAAGGATAAATGAAGTAGATGCTTACATTGGGCCATTTGTGCCTATGCCCAGAATTCAGCTTTATCCCCCAAAGTATCCAACAATAAAAGAGAGATCCCAATAAAGAAACCATGTATTATTAGAGTCACAGTTCATACCTTAATGTTCCACTGTAAACACAGGCCACAAAAAGTCCGGGAAGTCCTGGATAATCTTGCAGAATGTCCAGTACCAAATAAGGCATGAGCTGAAAAATTCCAAAATGTATTCCCAAGTACTATTTGTGACTGAATAAAATCAATTAGTGCTTCATTTATCTTGTTCTACAAGAACTAAAAAGCTATTCCACACAACTGAAATTTCCAAATATCTAAAATTAAACTCTTTAACTGCTAACACTTAAAGAAACGAATAGCACAGTATTTAAGTCAACAGGCTTTGGATTCAGACAGATATGGCTTTTGTTACTTAATTTCTCTGACCCTCAATTTCCTCATCTATAAAAGAGTGGTAATAATATTAACCTCATAGAGTCACTGTAAGAGTTAAATTAGATAATCTATGTCAGCTCTTAGTACAGTACATGGAATACAGTAAATGCTCGATACAAGGTAGCTGTTATTCTTTAGAATAATAAGTAATTTTCAAGGAAGTGTTCTACACTCCCTTGTGCTTGAGTAAGCAGAATGCACTTAATTTAACTTTACTTCATGACTCAAGGCCATTTTATGAACTCAGTCATTGCCCAGGACTGAAGATGTAATTTTAGCTGCATACAGTGTGACATATCGTAGCAGATGGAGAGTAACCTCAGGAAATCCCTGAAATTTGCTTCTTTTAAAAAAGTTCCTGCTACCAACTTGCTTTTTGATAACTTATATTTTTTAAATAAATATTAAATTTAAATGGGCAGGCATGCGTCTTCAGAACTGTGTTATATGACAAGTCTTTCTGCAAAATTTTCAAATCAAGAGTCCTAAGTGGACAATTTTCCAAAAAAGTGTCCTCTCATTTGCACTGCAACATTATTGATTACTTTGCCTACAGTACAGAGTTGATGACATGCCCTATCTTATCACTTCCATAGCCTCTTCAATTTCATTCAACAATAGTGAGTTGATAGAATATGGAAGAAATTCTTCCACTAGCAAAAGGGTCTG